GCTTTCCCTCCTGAAAATAGTAGTTTGGTTTCAGGTTTTGCATGTTCCTCCTCTCTTTTAAGGCATTTATTTAGTCAGCTGCTGCTACAACAGACTCACCTGTGGGGAGAGCTTCTATCAGAGAACACTCTTCCTCCTATCCTCCTGTTGCTCCCTCCTCCTCACAGAGCATACGTTACCCCTTCTAGCCAGTCCTCCCTTTGAAATCTCCTAAGAGGTTGACAGGTCTTTCATCTCCAAACTCACTCTATTCCATCTTTAACCAGAAATCAGGCTGGTCACTTTTTTAATTAAAATAAAGGTTCATTTCATTCCTTAGGTATGTAGACAGGCGGTGGGAGGTGGGGTGTAGATTACAAGCAATCTCTTGCATTTAATTGTCTGAAGAAAAAGAAAAAAAAAGGCAGAAAGGAAGGAACTAAGGAAAGAACCCTTTCTTTGCATCCCTGTGGTAGAATATCCCCTTCTTCCTTGGAGGAGGCTGCTCAGCATTTTTCAGCATGTTTTGTTTCTGTCATTGAACTTTATATTCTGTATTAATGCATACATTAAAAATATACACGGAACAAGCATTTAAATGGGATGGTTGTATGTAGCACATCACTGACTCCAGACTGAGATTATACATGACAGCAACTGACTGCTTTTGGTCTGAAAATGGTTTAGAGTGACTGATCACCAATCTCTAAGGCACATAATGACAATGCTTAACAAACTTTTACACTAAAAAAATCCTGCTCAGGTGACAGCCTTTGGACTGAAATAACAAATTAGATGTAAAATGATCTCTTCTGTTTTGAATTTGTCCTGAAGTGTGAGCTCCAAATTACATTGACACAAAGAACATACCAAATTGAAACAGGTTTACAAAATATATAAAAATAAAGCATACAGAATTGCTATAGCTTTTCAGGTTGTTATGGAAACAGAGGAAACTGCGGGTCTCTTCCTCTGCCCGTAACTGACAATTTGGAAAACCGGTGTCTTAATTGCAAAATACAGCCCTCCTTGCCTCTCCCCTCACCTGCTAACTCTCCAAATATTTCTCTGTTGGTTTCTTACGTGAAGACATTGTTGTTTGTGGATGGTATTTTGAAACTAATCTCAAATCTCTTCTAGCCAACATATCAATTGTAGACATAGACACCAACGAAGAAGACACCATAGCAACAACTTCTACAGGCAGCCACTTTGGGCTCAACTTAAAAGGGCATGAGAAAATATATTTTGGGGGATTGCCAACCCTGAGAAATCTAAGGTAACGTGGCTCAAACTAATTTCTTCACCTTTAGTAAGGGAATGTAAATGCAGTGTAATCTTACTCTCTGTATCTGTTTCTCAAGTTCACTTGCAGTAAGTGAATGGTGAGCTCCCAACGTACCTGACATTGCCACAGCAGACCAACGCTTTATTTTCATATGTTGTGTATTTCAATGTATTTCACACAGCTCACATTACACAAATACAATGGAAATCATGGTAACAATGCAGTACAGCTTTCTGAAGTTGTGCAGAACTATGATGTAGCTCACTTCATCTTTTTAAGTATATTTTTTGTTTGATGAATAGAATCTGTGATTACAAACTTGCAGAAATGGCTCCATACCTCCACAAAATTAAGCACAATTGTTTACCTTGTGCATGAGTAGGAAAATTGAACTACAGACTACTCCTCACAGGATTACTGTTAAATGGGTATGCGTGTCTGCATAATCAGGGTCAGTATACTTTCAATACATGTAAAAATTTTGTGTTTAGATATCATTTAGTATTATTTGTAGGCACAAATTCCTGGACTCCTTAGATTAAATTCCTCCTGTATTCAGGAATTAAAGTATGTGATACAATACCCTTGATATATTTAGTGTAAGTAGAATGAAATATGGCAACCTTTTCCCTTCAGAAGCCTGATCCTGAATTTCTCACTCAAATAAAATTCCCATTATTCATTTTTTAAATATCGCATATTATTCTTGATAAATTTTAAGTTAAGCTTTAATAAACTAAATAAATGGGATAACAGATATTTGAATCTAGTGACTGTATTACATGGTTTTAAGTAGACCAGAAAACTTACTTGTGGTTTAAATGAATATTCAGCAGTTTTGCAATGATAAGAACAAGGGCGTTCTGTGCTACAATGAACAGATGAGCAACACAGAAACAAGCCCATTAATCTATGTCAGCTTTAGCTACATGGCATAATGACAGCCTTGAAGTGGTCTTGTGCACAAGGAACTGTTGGGATTAGTCCACAGGCTGTTCTGCAACTAAAAGAAAGGACATATTTGTTAATTTATTAGGTTAATAACTGACCTCTGATGTCAAATCACCCAACAATAAAAAGATCTAAGACCTATTTTACTCATGAATATAAGACTATATGATGTAATTGTGAAATCACACTAGTGCATAACAAAATGCCTAGAGCAATTGTCTTCCAGCAAATCCTTTGTGGTTGCTTAGAAAATCAGTGTACCACAGCTACTTGGACCCGTGATAACCATTTTGCCTACAGCTATGATTCATCAGTCACTTGGGCAAGATGAATGTTATGGTAAATTAGAATCAAAAATAGTGAAAGGGGGATTAGGGCAAAGCTGAACTACTGCGAACAATGGATGCTGAGGTACCTGTGACTTTGTAATTATGCGGTTGCATCAGATCTGCCAAATTCTTTTACATGGTTTGCTTTTACTCATGACCAAGTATAGCACCAGATTATAAAAGCTCTCTCATACATTACATTTTAAGGTAGCTATTTGTAGAAGAGCCCTGTTAATTATTATAGCTTGATAGTGTGTATAGAATCTCACCATCCATAATGTGTTGTTTGTAAATGATGTATATCTGCTTCACTGTGAAATATTTTGTATCTTGCTAGTAAGTATCATTTGCTACAATTAATGTAATTTTTGTTTTTGTTTTTTTGTCTTTCTCTCTCACCATAGTATGAAAGCAAGGTAAAAATAATCAGATTATTTGCATGACTTGCATGTGTCTAGTAAGTGCAGCTTGAAAGCACAGGCGGCAACGCAGAAGCAGCGTGTGGGCAGTATTTATACCAGCTGTTACGCTAAGGCTGTTAATTCAGCGAGTTGCTCCTGCTGCAACAAGCAAAGCTGCTCCCAAGTGCTTAACACTGTCATCTTACATGCTGTGCAAACACCTACACAAACAACTTTTCTTCACACAGCTGCTTACTTCAGCTGTGTTTGTTTATGACACTGGAATGCCTCGGAAGCAAAGCTACGGCAAGCTGTATTGCCGAGTTTGGTTCTGACCTCCAGGCTGTAAGAACAACGCGGTCCCGGGCCAGGCGAGGAGCGCTGCACTCCGAGGCAGTGAAGTAGATACAGAGGAGGGTAGGAAAGCAAGGTGCAGATTTTTGTGAAATTTGCCACTTCTGAGTTTAAGAACAGGAGGATGAGGGGGAAATAGGGGAGGTCACCTATTTCTGACGCTGTCTGCAGTTTGCAACTCTTTGTGTCCGTTACTTTTGCTTTGATATGCTTAGATATGAACTGAACTTCACTGTTTTGCAGCTTAATTCCTGGCTTGAATTAGCAAAATGCAACTTCCCCTTCCCACCCTGATCCTGAGAAACATTATTTCCTCCCAAGCTCCAGAAAACTTTGCTTGTGTTCCCTTGAAACCAATCCTAGTTTGGGAAAAAAAAAAAGAAAAAAAAAAAAAAAGCCAAGAATTTATGCAAGATCTGAATGAACTTGGTCCTTGTTTTGTACGTTTTGGAAGGGAACAAGGGAGAAAGGAAGTCTTAAGAAAACATCAAGCAAGTGTTCAATGATTGCAAGGATGTAGAGTTCACACGGGTTGGGAATTATAACAGCAACTGCTTGTAGCGGGACAGCGTGAGGGCAGTCCGTAACGGGACAGGGCAGGAACGGGGTAGGAACCTGGATGGTTTCTGGATGGCAAAGGCAGGAGACGATGGGCACTGCCGACAACGGCGTGGCAAAACTGTTCTGCTGCTGGGAAGATGAGTCTATAAAGGAACTGAGGAAGAGCTAGGAAATAAAAATGAAAACTGAAAGGTGACCATAACTACATCACTGTAAATAAAGCAGAATATGGATTACTTTAGGAAACCAGATGCTTACTTTAACTTATGCAGGGGATGCTAATTTGCCAGAGAATATACCGCGCTTGCTAGGACGGCTATAATGCAAAGAATGGCTTTCAGTACCAAAACATGCAGCTGAACAGTATCTGCGCAAAATGGTTTTATTTTGTGATTAATATTCTTTAAAATCTTTTCTTTCCTTCCAGGGAGCTGAAGTGTTTGGGTGTTTTTCTTTCTCCCCACAAATAACTCCTTATTTATTTTCCAAATTCATTTTTCTTTCTTTCAGCTGTTCATATTACTCACATATTCTACTAAGCACTCATGGGTAGTATTGTGAGTGAATTAACTAGTACTTCTTTTCTTTTTGGATTTACTCTCCATGGTATGAATGGCAACTTTTTTTCTGAACGGACTTTATAAGGCTTTTCTTCTTGCAAGCCTGGTTCAGATGTTGCCAGCAGTTCTGGTCTCTCTCTGGTGTTCCCAGGCCTGGGAAATCACACTTTTGCATTTAAGCATGCTAGCTTTGGTGTTATGTTCAGGGGTTTTCTCATTTCTTCTGGCAACCAGCTGATGAGCCAAACCATGGAACTTTGCAATTCTATTACATTTTCCTGTCTCGGATGGATAGTCAGATTCTGTTTGCAAACCCAAGTGTTTTGTTTTCTTTAACTACCTGAGAAAGTCTAATATATAGCTGTGTCAGAAGAAAATATGCAGTAGTTTTCATAGGAAAGATACCAGGAATATAAGATACATAGAAAACAAATGTCAGTCCACCTGAACATAAAGAATTCCTAAAAACAATTTTTTAAAAAAATTCATAAAAAAAAATTCAAATGAAAATTTTTTTTGGTCTTTGGCAAAGACTTCATCCAAAATGTTTGTATGCTGCTAAAGTTCCTCTTTCATTAGGATCTAGCATGCAAAAACATGAATGAAACATCTGTCTTCCAGTTAAGGTTTCTCTGTATTGTTATGATTTCCTAGCTTGTATCTTTCTGCTTTGCCTACGGAACAACTACTTACTTATTTCATAGCTTGCTGCATTTAAACACCAAAGGTGACAGCACTCCTTTACCAAAAAAAAAAAAAAAAATTAAAGAAAAGAAAAGAAAAAAATGGAAAAGATGACTGTTGTCAATTGAAGATGAGACAAATCTACCGTTATGCCTTTGAGTGATGGAAGGCAGAGTGCAATATGTGCTGATAGGTGGTAGAAGGCAAGATGTATTCATTTGAGTGTATGTGTGTATTTCAAAAAATAAAAAAATTCAAGCATCTGTGCGTCTGAAAGTGCATATGTGTGTGTCTGGCTGACTGTGTTCTCCCTAAACTCTAATTTTTAATATACATTGTACTTCTAATTTTTTTTTTTGTTTTTTTAGGCCTGAAGTGAACTTAAAGAAATATACAGGTTGCCTCAAAGAGATTGAAATTTCAAGGACACCGTATAATATATTGAGCAGTCCTGATTTTGTTGGTCTAACCAAAGGATGCACACTAGAGGTTAGTCTGACTTCCATGTATTTTGGTTTTAATGGGTATAAACGTTTTCTGGTTTCTGATTTTACAGCATAACATATTAATTGTGTAAGGCATATTCAGACACACATAGGGATCTAACCTGAAAAATCAGAAGGGTTATATTTAAGAGAAAGAAAGATGAATGAGTCTGATCAGCAAGCAGATCAGTTTTCCAGATGCTAACTTTTTGGACAGTGTCCCTGGACAGTTGTGATATCCCTATCCCTAAAGAGTAGGATTTTCTGAAATGCTTAGCAATGGTCTAGCTTTGTTTCAGCTGACTAGAATGGGAACTATTGGCATTAATGAGGACAGAATTAGGCACTGACGTTATTGCAAAAAACTTATTTTGATGCACATAAAATCCAAGGATTTAAATGATTTTTTTAAAAAAATTGTTATTATAAAATCATTCACTACAGAAAACCTGAGGTACTTTGAAAATCACAGTATATTTGGGGGTAACTGAAACAAATTCACCTTCAAGATAGGAACTGTAGAGCACTTACTGCTATGAGCTACCACTGAGCTGGAAGGCACATTTCTTACTGGTCACAAAGAATGTGCAAAATTGGTGTCATTATTTTAACTTCAAATACAACACAAGTCTATTTCTTTTCAATTGTTGCTGCTTCTAATTAATAGGCTTTCAATGCATATAAAATTCAAGGAGTCTGATCCTAAGTTTGAGAGAGAACAAAGTGATTTTCTATGGAAAAGAAGAGTCTTCATATATAAAAAAATATTTCCAGTGACATTTGTCTCCCAATAAACAGTTTGTATTTCTTCCCTGGAAATGTATGCTATTTAAGTAGTTTTGCAGCAGATGTATGATCTAGAGTTCCATATCAGATACCACTACAGCAAATCCAAATGAGTTGTTGTTAAACAGATGCTCTCCAAACATTTTTCTCCAAAACACTGAAAATTTCCTTTGAACAGTGACTGGAACCTGGCCAGGACAAAATAAAGATGAGTACCCTCTTTTGCTGTGTTTATCACTTCTATTCCTGGCCCTCATCAGAGCAAAAAGCACCCAACAATAGGACTGTCAGACAGGATATTAGACTAGATGGATCTGTCATGAGGTGGCCACTTTAAGTTTTCAGGTTTGTGACAAAGCTAAACTGTAAACAACCAGATTGCTCAAATGCTTTTAAATCTTACAAATTTAGGTTCAGCAAAAATTTTCTGCAGAAGTTCATATTTGTTTGCATTTATTGTAGATTCTTTTCTGAATAGGAAAGAAGGATAGTTGCATTGATCATCTTCTGTTGCTATGAATCTTAGAACTTTGTTTTTCACATTATTTTGTAACTCTTGAGGTTTCAGAATTTGACATCTAATTGGGTTAACCATTTTGTTGGGGAATTAAATAAAATATCCTAATTGTACAAAACAGGATTATGTAGGATAATTAAAAAGAAGTGAAGTGAAAGCAAAAGATAAAGACTGGATATACGCTCAATTATTTAAATGCCCTCAGATTTCAGAGAAAGGTGAACATCATCAACAATTATTTTATCTAGCATAATCTATTATCTCTATACCTGAAAACAGGTCTACTGTACTGAGATAATGGTGAGTTATTTTAGAAAAAGTCACTGTCTCTGTGGACTGGTCTTCCCCGGCTGGAAGAGTACAAGAATTGGCAGTGATTACAGAAAATCTTCAGGAGTATGCACTGATTTATTATTTGATGACATATTCTATTCTTTGAATTGTGTTAATGGCTACCAACATCCAAAGAGTTGGGCCATGCGCAACGAGTGCCTCATTTATGAGCCTAAGTCATCAAGAAAGCAGTGGTGCTTAGTGAAGCAATAATGAAGCAACGACGACTGCTAAATGGAAAGAATTTTCTGGGCACATTTGATAAATAATAGAATCTAGTTCATGTTCATATTGGCTGTTGCTATCTATTGTATTGATTTAAAAGCAAAATCCCACTGTATTAACTCCATGGAAAATATTCATATAAAAAAACACCTGTGAGCAGTTATTTTTAATCTGAGAGGATATACTGAAATAAGACTGGAACTTCGCCTTCCTGTAAGACAGGATTCGAGAAATCCTCTAATGATGCCAGATGTAAACATGTAAATTAGTGTTCACACAACACTTTGAGAAGTAAATTGCTTAGTGTTTATTATTACTTTCCATCTCTTCACACTAGTTATATTTACATAGTTTATTATTTCAGTTAAGAAATCTTTCTGCTTGTTCGTACTCTGGCTTGTAATCCTACTAATCACTTTCCTGTCGTCGTCTTCCTACAGAATATTTATACAGTTAGCTTCCCTAAGCCAGGTTTTGTGGAACTGCAGCCTGTCTCCTTTGATATGGGCACAGAAATCAACCTCTCCTTCAGCACCAAGAATGAGTCTGGAATCATCTTGTTTGGCACAAGTGGCACAGTTGTCCCCCCCAGGAGAAAGCGCAGGTACACTGGGAGGAAAGCTGCCCCTCTGAGGAGAAAGCGCAGACAGACGGGACAGGTACGAGGAACCTAGCAAAAAATAAAGAAACCCCACAATTTTAATGAACTTCTTCCAATGGGTTTGTTTCAAGACACTGTCAGATGTTTATACTTTCAGTGCTAGGGAATAAATTATTTCCAATGTTATCCTTTATCTCATGGAGAATCTGATAGAGGCTCTGAACTGTTTTTTTGCATTGGAGTAACTGTTTCTCTTAAAGATTTACAGTAAGGCATCCATTACTTGTTTGCTAAACAACAACAGATTTGTTTTTCTGTCATATAGATGCTTCCATGTTGTTTTTTCAGTCAAACCTAAATATTAGAGAATACTGTTCTTCACTCACTCTGAGGACTACTTATGCACTATTAATGCTTTGAAATATCTCTCATTCCTGTTCATATAGACATAAATGAGGATGAGCCTGATTCCCCTGAGACCAAAAGAAAAAAAAAAAAACCCAAAGCTACTAAAAGCAGTGCAAGATAAGCCCCTTGTTTGGGATCACTGCTGTGGGATATAAGACTTAAGAGTGCTCCAACCTCTCCTTCTCTCCCCTAAAATACAAATCTGCAGTATAAATCCTTTCTGAAGAAGAGGATAGAGTCAGTCTGTTCAGAACAAGTACCTACAGAGTCCAAGTGACTAACTGGTAAAAGTGTGATTGCTGTTAGAAATTACTCAGATCTTGATTAATTAAAAACCTCACAGACAGACATACTACAACAGAGATAAACAGAGTATTTAGGTGCTTTCTTTGTTCAGGACTTCTGGAAATGATATTTCATTATTCTCCTTCCTGCCTGTTTTGGAAGAGAGCCCTCAGTGACCTAGAGGAACACGCTCCAGGGACAGCACATGATAATGGCTCACCCACATGACATTAACTTCAGGGTAGGGGCTCCTTTATCATTACCCAGCTCTTCAGGTCACAGAAGTGAGCATGACACTCATTGCTATAGTAACTGGAGGTTAGATCCTGAAATCCACTACAACATGATATTGGTTGCTAGAGTAACTACTAGCGTGATTTGCCAGCCCTCCAAACGCAGAACTCACACTGAGATCAATGCTAGTCAGGGCTTGATGGGTTTAAGACCAGGCCTTGTAACAGCAAAAATCAGAAGAATTGTAGGTTAGAAGTCTCCATCCTTCCTTGCAAATACACATGCAGAGAGTAAAATCTTTTGATGAGGCTTTCCAGCATGACCTCATTTTACCCATTCCTCATTACAAAAATATGAGAGAGTCTGAATGTAGCAGCAGCAGCAGCACTGAAACTACAGTATCTTGTCTATGATGAGCAAATTAAAAACTGGGGTAGGACAATAAAATGTACACACTAATGTAAAACTAAGTGAAATCATTTCTTTCCAGATGTAACTTACTTCTCATACCAACATATACATTGCAGGCCTACTATGCAGTGTTCCTGAACAGAGGTCGACTAGAAGTGCATATCTCCACTGGGATACGGGATCCCCACAGAATCACCATCAAACCAGAAGCTGGCAAGTTTCACGACGGCAGAGCACACTCCATCCGGATAGAACGAGCTAAAGGGTAACAACTACCTAGAAGTGCTACCGACCACACAGCACAGCTAATTCAACAAAGCGAATGTACTGATGTCCTTTGGCAATCCATGTGAATGCTTCTGCTGAGGCAAAGAATTTAGTGTAATTTCATCCTTATCCAAAAATTTTTAGGAGTTAGTTTCTGACAGCGCTTATTATTCTGGTTTACATGCTTTCCTAGGCTATCGGCCTGTTTCTCCAAAGACCTGCATTTGTCTGAATTGGCATCTTTAACCTTCTGGTTCTTGGCAAATGTATTTTATTAATTGAATCTGTGGATGAGAAATACTGCTGCGGTGCAGTAAATCACCTTTTCAAGACATGTAGAAAAAGATCATTTTCAAAGTGTATAAAGAGCAACAGCACAGCAGCATGTAGCCTTTTCGAGATGCCATGTGCTGGTATATACACATGGGGTTACGGTGGTGCCCAGCTAGCTATGGTGAAACAATGAAGACACACAGTCCCAGATAAATGTCAGTCATTCTTATTGCTGGAAAGCCATTGCAGACCTTCTCAGACCATGTTGTTTTAAACAGAATTTCACTTAAATTCCTTTGCGTTTTCTCAGATATTGTAAAAAATGCTAATTACACTTCACCATTCAGAAAGTGATTAGAAACAGCACTACTGTAGTGTGTAGGACTCAGGCAGTCAGTATTATTTATGGCCTGGAATAACCCTTGTTGCAAGGAGGGTTTGTTGTGGACATTGGGACATACAGATGTGTACATACTGTGCAGACATTTGGTGGATTAATGCACTATGAACAATGTTGTTCTGTTTTGTTAAAAAAAAAAATCAGAAGGAAGATGTGACACCCAGCATGTTACAAAATGCACTTATCCAAGCGCAGTGAACACTAGGCTTCACCCTCTTGCCCTCACGACACTGCAGCCTTCTTGAGCAACAATTCCCGTCTGTCTAGTCCCGAGGTGCCCTTCTGTCCTCTCTATAATTTGCTTTGCTTTCCTTTGTCCTTTCACAGTATAATTTTCTGACTGAATTTCTATTGTATCATTAAAAAAATCTTGTAAATAATGCCTTCAGACAATATCTCTCCCCAGCTTCAATGACTACTTTGAGGTAAAACTGTAAATTCTTTGGGAGAAAAAGTTCTTTTGGAAATGGATGACTGCATTTTGTGAAACATTTTGTGTCACTGTGACAGACCACAAATATGCAGATGATAATAAGAAGCTCTAAACAACAAAGAAAGTTCTTTTATGCAGTGCTATAGCAAGTACAGTAGCTTGACCTGCGAAAGTACATCAAGACACAATTGCTGGACAATGCCATCCAGTGATGATGCTTGTTCAGATGAAACCTCTGTGTTTTCAAAGTAGCTCTGTTACAAAACAAATTGTCTGAACTCTGCAGTTTCTGTACCCTGCAATGGATGTGAAAAGATATAAATTAAGATTAACCCCTCCTCTGTTCATCACGAACTCAAGCTTTATTTGATTAAATATGAGGAACACACTTTAAAATTCTTCAGAGAGATAATTGTCCATATAATTATGAAGTATTTGCTTTCTCTTCCAAGGTAATTATAGGATACTGTTGACGACTAATGCACATCATTGTGTGGTTCTGCTTGGAGCCAAATGATTACTATGGTAATGGCTAAAGATAAGATTAAATATTGCATGCTGATGAAAATATTGAAAATCAGTAGCCATGGCTAACAAAGGATAACTTGAGTCTTGACAG